GTTTCTGGTAAAGAGAAAAAGTTGAAATTTGTGGTCCAGTGTTACCTGTCGGAGTAATGGACGCTCTAAGTGGAGGAGAGGGCGAGATCGCCGTTTATGCAACTTAGACCAGCTGAAGTTTGCATGAAGAGAGCGGAATGCTCGCATTTGGAGCGGTACTGATTGCAGACAATAAGGTTTCTTTCCTTGCTAGTTCGTCTGCAGCACAATGACACACATCTCATTGCAAGCTAATGTAGAGTGTGTCTACATTCAGTGACTAACTTCAATGTCGATATGTCACAATGAAGTGCTTTGATAGCCGCCTGGCTATCAGAAAAGATAGCTACTGCATACAAATTAATAGAGGAATCGACCATCCATCTTCTTCGTTAATTGCTGTAAGTTCAGCTTGAAAAACGCTACAGAGGTCCGGCAGACGGAAACTTAAGCTAAATAGAGAGTTCTTCGCCACTTGTTTGCGAATAGGCGAAAATGTTAAAAAATGAAATTCGTCATACCCCGCTCGTTTACTCCGAAATTTTCTGATTTGGAAAATAATGAAGAATTTCTCATCATGACCTCCACAGACAGTTAACAAACGCATTTGTTTTATTTCGAAAGCAATTTCTATTTCTTCCATTTGAAAATGACAAAATGAAAACATTTACAATAGCTGCGTACTAATTCTTCAGCGTGGTATGTATTTGCACTGGAACCTTTAATTCTACCTACATTTCATACAACAAAAGTTGAGCTTGTGCAAGCAGGACCTTTGCCTAGAGGATGGCTGTATGCTAAATCTGATCGTCATAAATATCTAACCTTCTTTTATTTCCGTTTCCATTTCGTATTGCAGAGTGATTTCCTTCAGTATCTAATAAAAAAAAAAAAATCGAAAGATCTTGCAGGAGGTGTGTGTTTTAAAAGAGCAATATGAGCTGAACTTGCAGTTTGTCGCGGCTGGAACTATTTCAAATATGACACTCATACTATATGTTTACTTTTCTTCATTTATCTATGGTGACCGTCCGTCCTGGCAATTAATTTATTTTATACGGGACGCCAAATGCTCTGTATTTCTTTTAATGTCCTGTATTTGTCCTGTATTCGGGGTTCGGTATTACGACGCCTTAAGAGCTCATTAAAATGAACCAGTTTTAAATGATGTGAAATATGATCGTAACTGTATCCATAAACAGTTATTATTTTCTAATCTGAATGCCTGTGCTTCGAATCGAGAGGAACGCATACAGTAACCAAAATATAAATTAGGATTCTACACTTTAGCAAGGTTCGGATATTTTTCTTTAGTTTATTTAATGTTTATTATTTTTTAAGTAAAGCTTTTCCTAACAAAAACCATATAAATCCAAATTTCCGACTTTATACAAAAACTATGAGAATTAATTCTGTAAATTTTTACCAAAATTTCAACTTTTTAATCAGAAAAAAAATTTTGGTTGCAGTTTTGTAGCTCATTTAAATTGAGTATAATAAAGTGCAAGTACAACGCTTATTTGCTTCCCTATCAACATATTGGCGAGCAGATTATTATATGAAAAAAAACGCGTAGCACCGTCGACAAAAAAAAATTACCAAAAATTAATGGCAAGTCCTAGCTACTTAAAACTTGCATGTTATCGTAAGAAAATTTAATTAAACTTTTGTTAAAAATTTTGTGGAGTAAAAATATCGAGAAATATATCCTACAAATTTGTGATGTTACTATAAGCAAGCTGTTTCAGGGCTAATACATACATATGTATATCTTTGATCATTTCAGAAGGTGATAAGATCGGTTAGCGTTTATGGAAAAAATTAGCAAAATTATTTTTTGTCCCGTATTCGGCTCACATAAATATGGACACCGTAAATATACATATCGCTTCTTTGGAACTTTTTAAATATCCCTTTTTAAATTAAGTACTCGTAAAATTGTGTATTTACTCACGAAATTATGGAGAATTTAGAGGAATACTGTGTTATGAATTTCAGGAGATATATATATAAATAAAAAGCAATGCTTGACCACAGATATATCAAAAAAGCGCTTATCAATCAGATTGCCATTCGACAAAATCAAAGTTTGCTCTTACAAACTCATTTTTTACATTGCTATAAATCTGTGCAATTATTTTTTCAAAATTCACTACTCCGTTTTTACTATTGTTCGCCGCTGTGGTGACATTATGCGACTGCTGGAGCGGAGCGCGCAAAATGCCAATTTTATTTCTTCCTTCAGGGAAAAAAGTTTTTTTTGAACTTTTATTTTGAAATTAAATAATCGGTCAACCCAGACTTTAATTTTTTTAATCCAGTAATAACAGTTAAACTTGGCCAAATATTTTCTAATGCCGAAATTACAGGCCTTTCTCAATAAAAAAACAAACCGCTTATCCAAATTAACCAGATTTGGTATCAAATGAAAGAATACTGAATATAGCGTTCAAACTGAAATATCCAAACGAGAAATGCCTCCTATTAAAAAAAATTGAATTTAAAAATAATTATTAATTACCATAGAACAAACCTTTGCCAGATAAATGAATTTATTTTGTATCAAAATAAAAAATTATATAAATAAGTGATAATCTTTCTTTTACATATTGTTTGTTGAAAACTATTTCAGTCCTCTTTCATTTGATATCAAATTTGTTTAATTTGAATAAGCCGTTTGTTTATTATTAGGAAGGGGCTTTTATTTCGACCTTAAAAAACATTTGGCTAAATTTAACTGTTATTATTGGACTAAATAAAATAAAAGGCCGGTTTTTCAGTTATTATTGCACTATTTCCTAAAAAGTTAAAAAAAAATTGGATTCTTGGCCAGAGGTATTGTTATCAAACCAACATTGTCAATTTTATTCTACGACAAAATTTTGCCACGGACTTTTATAACATCGAAAAAAGAAACAGCTGTTATTTTCGGTCCATGTCTTTCTCGCATGAGTGATAAATCGACAGACTATCCCGTTAACTGGTATGATGCTACTAGTATTTCTACTGGTAGGTGCTGATGCATAGCCGGACAATTGACATTTCGTAGGACATCGCCATGCTCAAAACATCAGTCGCTAGCATGGAAAAAGGATGGAAGACGGACTAGTTAAGCAGATAAACTGACAGGAAATATTCCAAGTAGTTCACAACTAATAGCTTTTCCTGCCGGGTATATATGTATGTACACATGTATGTACCTTGCATACTCACACCAGTTACATTGCTTTCAACCGGTAAAATTTTTAACTATGCGCACGCGTTTCCTATTCGTAATGGATGCCAGGCATTGAAAATACTTTTTCCCCTTTTCCATGATTGGGTGCATTCACAGCGCTCAAAATTAAGTCAATATTTGTTTTGTGGGAAAATCGGATAAATATGTATGTACATATACACATACGAGTACATACATATACTTACAGACTTTATGCGGCACACTACTGGTGGCAAAAGTCAGCGGCTCTTTATTTGATTTCGTTTTATGCGACTAAAAGGCGTCTAATCAAATTAGTTGCGGTGCATAGTAATTGAAATGTAATTACTCTGAGATAGTGTTGTGTGGGAAGTTTCTAAAAATCAGGCAACATATGTATGCACATTAGAGTGGTCGAAAAAATTGTTTCTGAGATAGAGTTTGGGACACCTTCCAAAGTTGTTCCTCACGCCGGGAGAGGTGCTAGCACCAAACTTTACGTTTGTATGTATAAATTTAGAGCATGCTCATGAAATATTTATATTTCTCTGCAAGTATTTTGTACATACATACATATGTACGTATATTAACCAAACAATAAAAAAATATAATAAACTTCAGTTGATATGACAACAGCAGCTTTTTATAAAAATCGCTTATATTTTTTCAGTTTCAAAGCGATACAGCGGCACATTTCAAATTGAGTACCCTGTATTGGTTGCAGTAGAAAATTGAAAGTTGGTATAGATATTACAGATATCAAAAGGAAAAACCTAACAGGGAGATTCCACTTACCTCTCCCTCTCACAAACTTTGGACCACTCTAATGTTCGCTTTTTGCAAGAAAGCAAACGGTATTGAGCATTTTGAGCTTCTTTCGTTAACACTCCTTTCACATTTTACCTGTTGGGCTTAGCATACATATGTACACTTGTATAAAT